GGTCAGCCCAGGGCCCGTGGTCAGCCCAGGGCCCGCGGTCAGCCCAGGGCCCGCGGTCAGCCCAGGGACTGTGGTCAGCCCAGGGCCCGCGGTCAGCCCAGGGACTGTGGTCAGCCCAGGGCCCGCGGTCAGCCCAGGGCCCGCGGTCAGCCCAGGGCCGGGCAGGGCCTGGGGGCCCCAGCTCTGCACAGGGGACCCAGGAGCCGCCTGGTCCACTGCGTCCACCTCTGTCCCCTCATTTAGCCAGGTTTGCTGAGCACCTACTGTGTGGTTTACCAAGCACCCACTGCGTGCCCGGGCGTGGATTACTGAGCACCTACTGTGTGCCCAAGTGTGGTTTACTGAACACCTACTGTGTGCCTGGGTGTGGTTTGCTGAGCACCTACTGTGTGCCCAGGTGTGGTTTACTGAACACCTACTGTGTGCCTGGGTGTGGTTTGCTGAGCACCTACTGTGTGGTTTACCAAGCACCCACTGCATGCCCTGGCGTGGATTACTGAGCACCTACTGTGTGCCCAAGTGTGGTTTACAGAGCACCTACTGTGTGCCCAGGTGTGGTTTACTGAGCACCTACTGCTTGCCTGGGTGTGGTTTACCAAGCACCCACTGTGTGCCTGGGCGTAGATTACTGAGCACCTACTGTGTGCCCAGGGGTGGTTTACAGAGCACCTACTGTGTGCCCAGGGGTGGTTTACAGAGCACCTACTGTGTGCCCAGGTGTGGCTTACTGAGCACCTACTGTGTGCCCAGGCATGGTTTACAGAGCACCTACTGTGTGCCCGGGTGTGGTTTACTGACCACCTACTGTGTGCCCAGGTGTGGTTTACTGAGTGGCACCTACTGTGTGCCCAGGGGTGGTTTACTGAGCACCTACTGCGTGCCCAGGTATGGCTTACTGAACACCTACTGTGTGGTTTACAGAGCACCCACTGTGTGCCTGGGCGTAGATTACTGAGCACCTACTGTGTGCCCAGGTGTGGCTTACTGAGCACCTACTGTGTGCCCGGGCGTGGTTTGCAGAGCACCTACTGTGTGCCCGGGTGTGGTTTACTGACCACCTACTGTGTGCCCAAGGGTGGTTTACAGAGCACCCACTGCGCACCCAGGTGTGGTTTACTGAGCACCTACTGCGTGCCCAGGCATGGCTTGCTGAGCACCTACTGTGTGGTTTATTGAGCACCTACTGTGTTATTTACTGAGCACCTACTGCGTGCCCAGGTGTGATTTACTAAGAACCTACTGTGTGGTTTACTGAGCACCCACTGCGCGCCCGGGGCTGTTGCGGGCACCTTGGGGACAGAAGTGAGTCACATAAGCCCGGGTGCGCCCCATGGGGAGCCGGGGCCTCGGGGTGCCGTCTGCATGGGGCCGGGACTGCAGGCGCGCCCAGCCACACGCGTCCACAGCTCCTTCGTGACGCGTTGCGGAGGGCGCCCGTGGTGGGGGCCCCGCGGGGTCAGCTGCGGCGTCTCCCCTCACTCCTCAGCCCCCCCAGCCCCCGTGCGCCCCGTCCATAGTGACCACCCTTCTCCCCCTCTTGTGAGATCAGCGTTTTGGGGGTGGGGGGTGGGGGGCGGGTTCTGGGGTGTGAAGTCAGTTGGGGCGGGTGCTCGACCGCGTGAGCCAGGCCTCCCGCCTGTTTGCGCTTTCCGTCTCTTTTGAACGGGGTCTGCACTGGTCGGGACCCCGAGCCCCCCGTTTCTCATGGCCGATGGCTCGGTGGAGGTGAGGGTTGTGGGGCGTTTATGGCCCAGGCCACCCCCAGAATAGGATTCTACGTGGGAGCTACGGCGCCCGGCTGAGGTCACCGGGGGAGGGACGCGGTTGGGAGCTGCGTCCTGTCTCTGTCTCTGTCTGTCTGTCTGTCTTTGTCTCTGCCTGTCTCTCTGTTTGTTTGACTGTCTCTGTCTGTCTGTCTCTGACTCTCTGTCTCTGTCTCTGTCTGTCTCTGTGTCTCTGTCTGTCTGTCTCTGTCTGTCTGACTGTCTCTGTCTGTCTGTCTCTGTCTCTGTCTGTCTCTCTGTCTCTGTCTCTGTGTCTGTGTCTGTCTGTGTCTGTGTCTGTCTGTCTGTCTCTGTCTCTGTCTGTCTCTATCTGTCTCTGTGTCTGTGTCTGTCTGTGTCTGTGTCTGTCTGTCTGTCTCTGTCTCTGTCTGTCTCTATCTGTCTCTGTGTCCGTGTCTGTCTGTCTGTCTCTGTCTCTGTCTGTCTCTATCTGTCTCTGTGTCCGTGTCTGTCTGTCTGTCTCTGTCTCTATCTGTCTCTGTGTCTGTGTCTGTCTCTCTCTGTCTCTGTCTGTCTGTCTCTCTGTCTCTGTCTGTCTGTCTGTCTCTGTCTCTGTCTGTCTGTCTGTCTCTGTCTCTGTCTGTCTCTCTGTGTCTGTCTGTCTCTGTCTCTGTGTCTGTGTCTGTCTGTCTGTGTCTGTCTGTCTCTCCCCGCAGTGTGCTGTGGGTAGCAGATTCTCTTTCTCCTCCCGTGTTCTGTGTTATAACCTGGCGCGCGCTGCGCTGGTGTGCGCACGGCTGCGTGTGGTTTGGGGATACTGAGGCAAGCGTGTGCACGGTTGCCGGGGAAGCGGGTGCTGCAGGCCCGGCCTCAGCGCCCGGGAACAAGGAAGCAGATGTCTCCCACCCACAGCTACTGAATCCTCGAACCCAGAGCCCGGGCCTAGGGATGTGGAAGGCCAGCCCTGCGGCCTCCAGTGATCTGCAGTCATGTTCTTCCTTTTCCTCTCTTAGTTCCAGTCCTGGGGCTTGAACTCTGGGCCTGGGCGCTGTCCCTCAGCTCTTCAGCTCAAGGCGAGCGCTCTACCACTTTGAGCCACAGCGCCACGTCCGGTTTTCTGGTGGTTCACTGGAGATCAGAGTCTCACAGACTTTCCTGCCTGGGCTGGCTTTGAACTGCGATCCTCAGATCTCAGCCTCCTGGGTGGCTGGGATGACAGCGTGGGCGTGGGTGCCTGGCCTGGGTCCTTCTTCTGAACCCCTGCGGCTCAAGCCTGTCACCCTCGCTGCTCAGGAGGCTGAGATCTGAGGATCACGGTTCAAGGCCAGCCCGGGCAAGAAAAAAAAATTCACTCGATGTCCATCTTCCAAAGCAAAAATCAGGGCTGGAGACACGGCTCAGGTAGTGGAGCACCCGCAGAGCAAGCTAGAGGCTCTGAATTTCAAACCCCTGTAACCTTCCCCCCCCCAATAAAATACAATAGAGTGTGTGATGGAGGAATGGCTGAATGGAAGGCAGTTAAGGGGTGCACATATGTGTGCTGAGATCCAATTGGCGCTCTACCACTTGAACCACAGCTCCACTTCCAGCTTTTTGCTGGCTCATTGGAGATCAGTGTCTTGCAGACTTTCCTGCCCAGGCTGGCTTTGAACCGTGATCCTCAGATCTCAGCATCCTGAGTAGCTAGGGTGACAGGCGTGAGCCACCAGCGCCTGGTTTGAAAGACAATCTTTTCAGCACAGCAGACCGGCAGTGCAAAGGTCCTGAGGCAGGAACGGGCGTGGACAATGTGATGAACCGGTGCCGCAGGGCTCTGCCGCCCAGCTCAGGTGACAATCCTTCCAGGCTGGGGAAGCAATTCACGTTCATTAAAGTGGGGAGACCGAGGCGGCAGCCAGCCAGCCTGGCAGGCGGCAGAAGCTTCTAGAATCCTTGCAGGGTTTGAGACATTAAAAACCCACGGATTTCTTTATGGGCAATTTAAGTGACGTTCAAGGGTAATCTGGACTGTTCTCTTGATTTCTGCCATATGTGCCGACTTCGCGCCCAGCACCCCGGGTGGAGGTTGCTCACCGTGGGCCGTGGGCCTGGCCGACAGGGGAGAGGCTCGCTGAAAACACGGGAGGGAGTCGGGCGCAGTGGCCACTCAGGAGGCTGAGATCTGAGGATCACGGTTCAAAGCCAGCCCGGGCAGGAAAGTCCCTGAGACTCTGATCTCCAATGAACCACCAGAAAACCAGAAGTGGTGCTGTGGCTCAAGGGGTAGAGCGCCAGCCTTGAGCTGAAGAGCTGAGGGACAGCGCTCAGGCCCAGAGTTCAAGCCCTGGTACCGATGCACACACCTACACACACAAATAATGATGATGGTGATAGAGGGGAAAAATAAACTCTGACAAAGCAGACTACTTAACAAGAGGCCGAGCCCCCCATTCTATGTCTGCGAGGTTGGCATGGGGCCTTGGGAAGTCAGAGGGAGAACCCTGGCAGTGCCCATGACCCTCACCCTGTGCCCTGTGGTCTCTCCCCGCTGCAGGAAGATGTCCTCAACACCCAGTGTGGCTATGATGTTCGGCTCAAACTGGTGAGAGTCTGGGGCCCAGGCTCTGGGCAGCTGGGGACACTGGGGGTGTGGGATAAGACTCCCCCACAAAGCACCTGTGGGAGGCCTCGGGATCTGTCGGGAGGGTGCTAAGGCCCGGGACCCCTTGGCACCCAGGGTGTGGTACTGGGGGTGGGGGTGAGACCTGGGCGTGGCACACGCGAGTGGGGGGGAGACAGGGGGGCTCCTTGGTCCCCCTGCTGTCGGGCCAAATTGCCCTGGACCTTGGAAATTCAATCTTGAGACAATGCCTGCCCTCACGGACAGTCATGTGACCTTCTGGAAAACCATGGAAGGTGCTGGATAGGGTAGTGTCCAGATGAGGCTGGGTGATCTGGGAAGGCCTCCTCAGCCGAGCCTCCAGGCTGGGACTCCGGGAGAAGCATCAGCTGTGCAAAGGCCCTGTGGCAGGGCTTGGGCTTGGCAAGCTGAAGTAGGGTAAGGGAGAGCAGGGCACAGGTTGAGATGGGTCCCCCCGGGGAAGGTGGGCCCACTCGGTGCCTGTGCCCCCAGGAGCTGGAGCAGCAGGGCTTTATCTACACCAAAGGCTGCGTGGGCCAGTTTGAGAAGTGGCTGCAGGACAACCTGATTCTGGTGGCTGGAGTCTTCATGGGCGTGGCCCTCCTCCAGGTACCCCGGGGCCCCGCCCACCCACCGCGCCAGGCCACGCCCCCTCCCCTGCCTTGAGTCTTACAGATCTTTGGCCTCTGCCTGGCTTGGGTACCCCGGAGGCCCCGCCCACCCATCATACACAGGCCACGCCCCTGCCACGCCCCCTCCCCTGCCTTGAGTCTTACAGATCTTTGGCCTCTGCCTGGCTTAGGTACCCGGGAGGCCACGCCCACCCATCATGCACAGGCCACGCCCCTGGCCACGCCCCCTCCCCTGCCTTGAGTCTTACAGATCTTTGGCCTCTGCCTGGCTTGGGTACCCCGGAGGCCCCGCCCACCACCATGCACAGGCCACGCCCCCGGCCACGCCCCCGGCCACACCCCTCTGCTTCCCTCCCCTGCCTTGTGTCTTACAGATCTTTGGCATCTGCCTGGCTCAGAACCTCGTAAGTGACATCCAGGCAGTGAAGGCCAACTGGTAAGGAGCCACACGCCACCGCCACGTGCCAGGACCCCCCCCAGGCCTCGGGGGGAGCCCCAGGGACCCTCTGCTCACACACATGGGCAAGGCCGCAGGAGGCGTCTGCTTGGATCTGGGGGGACCCAGGAGCACTCAGCATCATCTGCTCCCTCACCCCAAAGCAGAGGAGCCACCAATCTCGCTGCTGTGGAGGCCTGGAGCTGTCCAGGAGCCTGGGGAGCGTGCGGCCGGGTGGGGTGGGGGCAGGTCTGCCTGTACCCCCCACCCCCCAGCACTGCATGGCTGGGGTCAGGGGGCCAGGGTGCAGCCTTAGAGCTCTCCGACTCGCTGGGACCTTTCTCTGGGTGTGAACCACCTCGAACTTGAACTCAGGGCCTGGGCGCCATCCCTAAGCTTTTCCCCCCCCCCCCCGGCTCAGGGCTGGCGCTCTACCACTTGAGCCACACCTCCACTTGCAGCTTTCTGGTGGTTCCTCGGAGATCAGAGTCTCCCGGACTTCCCCTGCTCGGAGGAGGCTGGCTTTGAACCTCGATCCTCAGATCTCAGCCTCCTGAGTAGCTGGGATTACAGGCGGAAGCCACCGCGCCAGGCTCTTTGCCTTTCACCTTGAGCCTAGTGCTCAGCCTCTAAGTCCTGGACCCACGAAAGGTCCACGAATGTTCTCTCTCTCTCTTGCTCGCTCGCCTCTCAGGATCACACACGATGACGTTACAAACTACTCCAATAAACAGAACTTTGGAAACCATCACCCGAACCATGCTGGGGTCTGCTGTGGTAACGGCCCCGGGCCAGAGCCAGCATTGGACAGGCCGGCCATCTTAGGCCTGGGAAGTTTAGACGTTTGAGATGACCCAGGAGCCCAGCTCCCACTCCCCACCCCCCCCTTCTCCCTCTCCCCCCTCTCTCCTCTGTTATCTGGTACCGGGGCTGGAACTCCAGGCCTGGGAACTGTCCCTTTTTTTTGTCCCCTCAAGGCTGGCTCTCTACCATTTGGGCCGCACCTCTACTTTTGGCTATTCATTAGCGATAAGAATCTCACACACTTTTTTCCTGCCCCTGGCTGGCTTTGAACCCATGATCCTCAGATCTCAGCCTCCTGGGTAGCCAGGATGACAGGTGCCCGGCTCCTGAGTCTCTTGGAGGGTGTCTTCCGGGTCACACCAGCTTTCCAGTGTCAGATGCCTGGGCATCTGAGCTCAGAGACCCCGTTCAGTCTTCTCTCACCCAAGTGCCCTCCCTCACCCTCTGGGTGGTCCTTGTAAATACTGCAAGGCCACTGTGGTCCCCAGATGGGGACCCAGATGGCAGAGGAAATAGCTGGGAACCTAATGCCTGGCACCTGGGGAGCTGAATGGAGTGTTGATGGATCGTCAGTGTCTAGGCTTAGAACTGCTCACAGACCGGTCTCGCTGCCTGCAGGGCCGCCTTGTGGTCACCAGAGGGCGCCACGCACTCAGCGTTGCCTGGTCTGGCTGCTCGGAGCCCAGCGCTTAACCCAGTCTTTCTCTTTTTCTCTTTGGTGTGCTGGGGCTTGAACTCAGGGCCTGGGCACGGTCACTTCGCTCTTTTGCTCAAGGCTGGCTCTCTTCCACGTGAGCCACGGCCCCACTTCCCGTTTCCTTTTGAAATGTTCATTGGAGATCAGACTCACAGATTGAAAAAAAAAATACAAAAGAAAAGAAAGAATCTCACAGACCTTTTTCCTTCCCGGGCTGGCTTTGAACCAGGGGCCGTTGGTCTTTTTCCAAGGCCTCCCCTCTAAACTCTGCTGCTTTGGGGCCCCTGCCTCTCACGGCTGCTGATGGGGACATCAGGTCCAGACCCGATCCCTCTGTAAGATGCAGAGTGGCGCTGGCTAGAGACAGGCTTCCGGTACCTACAACAGGACCTGGGTGGCTTGGGGCCCCCTGGGGGCCTGGCCCCCAGATGCAGCCTCCTCAGATAAACAGCACAGGAAGCAGCCAACGTCCTTCTGCCGTTTGGCGGGGTCTGGGGGACCAGTGTCCCCCCTGCTGGCCTCTGTCAGGCTGGCTGCACCCAGATCCTGTCTGCAGGCCCGCTTGATCTGACCCTTAGGAAAGACTCCAGCAGCTCCCCATGTGCCTTTGAGGGAGCCGACTGTGACCCCAGAAGAGGACCAGACAGAGAGCAAGCCCCGAGAAAGCTGAGGGCACTGAGCTCCGGCCGCAGGTTAGCAGCCAGGGACGCTCAGGCGGCCACAGCTCCTAGTGACGAGCAGAGGGCACCAGAGCACAGCACATGGTGTGTGTGGGGGTCAGCGGCGGGTGACCGGCAGGGGGCGGCCGAGCGCGGCTGGTGTGGTGCAGCGGAGCAGCTGTGAGGGTGTCGAGCGGCCACCAGAGGGCAGCCGTGCAGCACGGCCGGTCAGCCGGGGCTCACATGGCCACCAGAGGGCGGCAAAGCGTAGCACGTGGGACAAAGTGACCCCAGGAAGACCGATGGGAGGGGGGGGTCAGCTGCGTGTGGCGGGCGCCCAGGGACCGCCAGGGGGCGCCAGAGGGCAGCCCGTGGTCAGCCCAGGGCCCGGGGTCAGCCCAGGGCCCGCGGTCAGCCCAGGGCCCGTG